TTTTTTTATTATTCCACAATTGTATACTAGATTATTGAGGATTTTTGTTGCGTGTCTAAGTTTTGAGGTTATGCCGGATATTTGCTTTTGTTTTAGAAATTACTTAGTTGGTTTAATCGTACCACTTGCAGTTGGTTAATTTGTACTGGTACAATTTACCCGACTACCAACCGCAAGTACCTAGAGTAAGTATGTACTACCCAAGGCCAAAAACAAAAGTTACTAGAGGAAAAGATTCTCATTCCATCACCAGTAGCGATGATTCAGGAGAGACACTTGTTGTAGAACTAGATGATGATGATGACAGCGATGATTATCTTGAAAATATATGTCGAAAGTGCAATTGTTCTTACTACGATAAGAAGGGTCCAAAAGTTGATTCGATTCAATTCAATGCGTGGCTACATGAGACGTGTACTTCGAATTTTTGAAAACATTTGTCATGATTGTTTCCATTAAGAAATATGCACAATAATTATATTACAAACAACATTCTTGTTAACTGTTACTTTATTATTATAGTTTAGTGTTTTTTTTTGTCTCATTTTTATTAGTTATGTTGATTGATCTCATTATTATAGTATAATCATGTTATTTTACTGAGAAAGCTTATAGTGTCTTTATACAGGGTTACTGGTGAATTACTATCAATATTTAAGGAGCATACTCGGTACATGATTCTCATTCGAATTATGTAAAAAAAATAGGTACTTAATTTTTGACCAAATTTCCGTGTAAATAAATAAAGTGTGTACACGTTTCAAGTGTTCCAAGTGTGGACGCGTGTGGCGGCGTGCTGATACAACACTACGCCGCCGCCGCGTCTGTGTGAGTGTGTGTGTATACCTAATCTGTAGGGTGTTCATACGATGCGTAATTAATTACATAACTTTTGGTTAACTTTACTTAGAAGTTTATTAATATTTATGTTATATTAATTTTTATTTTGTCGTATATGATCGTCAAATATCACGTCCTCAAATATCGATAGTAATTCACCAGTCACCCTGTATATTACCTAAGAGTTAAAAATTATGTTTCTATTATCTAAAAGATATAAATAATGTTGTTATATTACTTACCTAAGAGTTAAAAATAATTAATTTGATTGAGAATTTTAATGTCTTTCATTCAGTGGTACGACTTACACGCCCATGGTACGATTTAAAGACTTAGTGGTACGATTAAAACGACTAGTCGGCTAAATCGTACCGATGGCAAGCCTCTATAAAAAAGCATTTTTAACAATGTTAGAGTAATCGCAAGGATCTGTTCTCTTCTTCTTACGAAGCTTAAATATGAAACTTTATTTTACATATGTATTAATTATTATAAGACGTGTTATAGTTGAAATATTTGAGTTAAAGTGAAAAGTGGTCCCCTATCTTAGAGACTGTACTGTTAAAGAAAAGTAACAATAAGTATGAAATTGAGATGATTAGTATTTGTAACTATTTTTACATTCTTATATTATATACTAAATAAGTCAGTGGTGGCTCAGTGATTAAAATAGCCGCCTCTCATACACTAGGACGCGAGTTCGATCCTGGCCCGGGCAGGTACCAATGTGATTTTTCCGAGTCATATGGACTTTCTAAGATAATTTAGACATCACTGATTAATGCATTCCTAAAGAGAGTTGATGTCACTCAGGCGGTCGGTCGTAAATACAATAAGCCAAAAGGCAAAAACTATGCACAACATGTAAGGCAGACCCTGGCTAAAGCTGAAAAATTTCCAGGTAGAAGGTATATTATATACTAAATATTTTATCAATCTCCATAATTGCTTCTCTACATAGTTATGTACATAGGTCATTATAATTTCGATAATGTTTATCGAAATTATTATTATAATGCATGTAATAATTAAGTATTATTTTTATTTTATAGTAGCATGTACTGTTAAAACCTTTCAATAATATTATATTTAAGTTGACAGACCTCACAATGTCGATGGTAAATTCTGTTAATTGTTCGATGGACATATTTTAATATAGGCATCATCACAAACAGGACGGCCACTTAAAATTCCATTAAAGCGGATTACATCTTTCATGTTAATGCATTTAAATTAAAATATGTTTTATAAAGGGCACGTTTTGAACTAATTACGCACACATAGACGCACACTCACATACACCTATATTTTAATATGTATTTTTCTATATATATGTATATAATATACTTTCTAAGAGTATTTAAACACCACTAACTGACGGTGAAGGAAAACATCGTGAGAAAACCTGGACTTACTATTTCAAATTATAAGTCTGAAATCGTCAATCTGCTTTGAGCAAGCGTGATGTTTAATGCTCTGAACTTCTCCATGTGAGAATAGACCTCATCTCAACAGTGGACTCCGATATGATGATGATGTACATACATATATGTTTTTGAAAGGACAGCCAGTGTTAAGTTGGTGTAGACTCACTCCCAAATGTTGTTTTGTTCAAAAAGTCGACTTATGTTTAGGAGAATATATCTTTCTCTAAATATCAATTAATTCTGTAAAAGTAATATTAAAACAATTTAAATTGAAATATAATTTAATTAAGATTGTTATAAAAATCATATAATAATTTTATTTCAATCATAAAATGGTCCTTAATAGGTCAAATAACATTAATTCTTTTCTATAATAATTAGGGACGTATTGTAAAAGGAGGATCGGACTTGTCTTGTTTCTCTAATTAGACACGAGAGGTAGTCTTGTTACTAATATTATCAATAAAGCTTTATATTATATTTATTAAAGATTCTTTCTATATTATAGTTAGATAGTACGTTAGTTAATTAAAAAATTGTTGCGTAACATTAAAAAAATACTCACTGACTAATACTTTCATACCGTCTTCTTTGACGTCGGTTGACGTAATCAAAAGGATGGATAAAATTTAAGAATAAAGGAGTTTGTGTATAAAAATATTGAGATAAAAGCTTACTGATTCTACCATAGACAAAATTAAGACGCAGAAACACTACTTGCATGTTCATCTTATCCTTTGTGGTTAAACTTCATATAGATGTAGTAAGAAATACATTATTTTTATTGAATATTACATACTTATAATTCTTTTTCGTCCTGTTGAACTATGCTTATAACCTCCATTCGCTTATAAATAATATTCCACCGATTTTTATGTACATACATTTATATATTTCTTTTGTATAAAGCATTTGAAATGTATCCATCTCTTTTATTTATCCGAATCATACTGTTTGTATAACAGTAACAGTGCGCCTTCTACTTAAATATAGATTAAACATTACATAAGATGGGTGCTTGAAAGACGAGATAAATACCGTAAACATCTGTTAAACGGTTGCCTTTAAAATACGGAAAAGAAATGAAAATATACAACCGTAAATGTAAGCGGTAACGGATATTTCAATTTTGGTATTATTTATTTTAATCATTCTACCGTATACAGTATACACAATGTGTGCGAAATCCGTACATTTGTATTGGTATATCGACATTGTTGAGAACAGATTACAATGTCCAATTTGTTTTATAGTCCAGGAGCGGTAGTATAAAAAAATATATAAATAATTAATTTCATAGTCGGATTAAAATTTTTTCATATATTTGTAAATGTAAGTTATATTGTTGTTTTGTTTGTTTTTTCGAGTTGATAGCTCTTGGACAAATATGTCACGTGTTGTCTGGAACGTGACTTGATGATATTGATTCATTTAAATGATGCATCATGCATCACACTGATTTGATTCGATTCAACACAATGTAATTCTATAGTTAGTATAATGTCTAAACAAATGATATTGATATGCATTGAATTAAGTTCTTTTTAATAATCATTTCAAATTTAAAACTAAATCTGTTCTAACTTTTGACATAATTGAATTAAAAAACATCAAAAATATAATTTTAATGCATTAATTTAGTGTTATTAAATTTTTTAGTTATAGTATGTATTATTTTAATAAAAATTAAGACATATTATTTGTTTAATATACAAATGATAACGCTACAATCTCTGATTAATGCTCTAACCTTTTCCATATGACAAGAGATCTTTGCTCAGCAGTGGGCTTTGATGATGATATTCTTTGGGTAGAAGTTTATTTAGTTTACTATAAAATTGTAATAGTATTCCGAATCCTATGCCCGCGATCTATATTGCAGTGTTATCAATAAACCATTGTTTTTTATATACATTATTTTAATTCAAAGCGGTTTTCTTACAAGCTAAATGTAATTTAGTGACGCAACAAGAAATTTTCGTCTCGTACAGTTTCTGTAGAGCTAGATTCAAGTGAGACCGGGATCAAAGACGTCTTCCGCCTTTGTAGTGCCACGGTTGATGAGAGTCGTTATTGTGTTGGGGGAAGTTTAATGTTTTATATTAAATATGTACTTTAATATCGCAGCTTTAATTATGTGAAATATATAATGGGAGTTTTATAATTTTATATGTATGTGATTAAGATGTTTCAACTAACATATTTTATATGGGTTCAAATTATAATGTTTAATTAAAGAAAATACACATCTCATCTGCCTGTGATCACGGTTGCTGTAGAGTAGCCGAAACGTCGGGAGTATGTAGTTTATAATTAAAAAATCGCGTTGTAAATCCGAAAATATTAGTTTCATTTAAATAAACAAAATTTAATGATATCTAAAACTTTTGCGAGTTTTATTCATTTAAATGTAACTAATATTTTTCGGATATACCTATTACGCGTGCTTTATTTTTGTAATAAACTACATACTCCCGTAGTTTCGTTTACTTTTCAGCAACCGTGATCACGGGCAGAGGAAATGTGAATGGACATTCACGCATATTATATCCGAAAAATATCAGTTTCATTTATATATAAACAATTAAAATTATATATGATCAATGCTATTACTTTATTCAAGTGACTTAATTTCTCAATACTAATACTAAATATGCAAATACTCGTATGTAATCAAAGTATTTATAATTTATATGCTTTAATTGTATTGAATATATAACGTATATATTTCAGTAACGGGCCGGTAGAGGGCGCATATGGGCCGCAGCATAGCCCTGTGTCCCGTTCGGACGCCTCCACCGAAGACGCGGAACTATCAGCTGCTCTCGCTCATCAGCACCATCTGGCTATGCAGGTATGATTAACAGCATCCGTGTGACAAATAACAACCGTATTGCTATTTAAATAAGGTTTAATTTCTATTTTCCTAATACTTATCGAAGAGTCAGACTATTTAAATAATTTACGATTGTAATTCGTAGCAAGAGTTTTTCCTTTGTAACATAATCCTTTACAAATATTATAATTTCAACTAAATTTCTAACATTGTGATTTTAAAATTTTGATATTAATAGTTATTTATTGTATTTTACGGTTGTCTTAAAATCAATATCACTGCTATTAGATTTAGGCTGGAGCATCTTAAAATATTATTCAATAATATTAAATAGATTCTGGCTTAATACGTACATATGCATTATCGAATTGATAAAGAAGTAAATAATAAGAGGTTATATTAAATTCATATTTCCTAACTTGGATCAAGATATTATTCAATAGTCATAAGCTTTAACTGAACTTAGAACCTGATTGCTATTTGATGAATACTATAGTCTTAAATCTCCACGAGCTTCAGTGTAATTGTTTGAAGTGTTCTTGAAACTATCTGAACATACTGTATCTTATGTCCATCATGGCATTATTAACACTGAACACCCTGTATATAATCTTATACTGATCAAGTGCTGTTATTAAAGTTTTTGTAATTTATTAATTACTGCTATACTTGAGTCTGTTTGACTTTTTTTGTTTTGGTATACTAAATATTAATTACTTTTTTATAAAGACAAAAATATTTAAGTTAGTAATTTACTAAACGAGGTTGTTTTCGAAATAAAGGCATCTTACTTTTTTGTTAGTAACGTTTTTTCGTGAATTCGAAATAGTATATATTTTTTTTTTAAACCCTTCCTTGCTTACTGATAGTTTTTCGATTATTGCTTCAGTCACCAAGTGGTACTCTCGAAATAAATCGCTTCTATCAAATTTTGATATTCATATACATAATGCAATATTTGTATACCGAACAAAGTATTTGATTTAACTGTAGGTTTAGTCTAAATTTACATTGTCATATTACATACGTAGCGTGAACAGTATTTCATTCGTAAATCTCTATACTCGTAGTATTAACGTAAGTTATTGAAAGAAAAACGGGAAACGCAATGTATTGTGACAATGCGAACTCAGACTTAGCATTTAGATATATTTGAATAAATCGGCTGACGATTCATTTGTATAAAATATTTCAATTAAAAAATGTCGTTTCTTAAAATCTCTGTAAGCTTTTTATACACATTTATATTTTTCCGTCTAAGCCGAACGGATTTGGTCTATAGTTAAATCCGTTTATATTTTAATTTCGATTTCGGATTAATAAAGTTTGAGAAAAATGCTACTTGAAAAAAAGTATATCTATCTGTTACACATTAATTATTATCTATCTATTAAATAGATTTCACAAATATGTCATGACACTACTTAATAAGATACTGCTACTTTCGCGAGTTTTCATTAAAATAATACTACTATTTCCGGATATACTACGCGATTTCAATTTATTAAATATATATTCCCGATGTTTCGGTTACCTTGCAGCAACCGTGATCACGGGTAGACGAGATGAGATTTTTGTGAAATTCGATGATGATTTGATTCATGATTCGATTCAAGATTTATTACGTGATCTGATTCATGTTTCGCTAATACCAGGCGGGTGATTACCCCGTCGGTGGCGGTGTGGAGCCGGACTATGGCCAGTATGTGTCATCACCAGCGGCTCATTACAACCACATGGGACACCTCACTATGGCTCCATCACAGAAATATCCTCATGTAAGTACTATATTACTACTAGCTGCGCCCCGCGGTGTTACCCGCAGATTTCCGGGATGTAAAGTCTATATGTTATTCCTGGACGTCAGCTTCCTGTAAACAAAATTTTATCAAAATCGGTTCAGCCGTTTGGGCGTGAAGAAGTAACAAACATACACACACACTCACAAACTTTAGCAATTTTAATATTAGTAGGATTTAACCGTAGATTTGTCCAGCCTTTATTTGTTGGTTACATTTGTATCATTATTTATATTTACGAATTAATACTTATAAATAAATTGATAGATGTTTGTCTGCGATTTCGTTCGCGTTTTATTCGTGTTTGTTTTCGAGGAAAGGAATATGTACTTTATATAATAGATATAAGTATCAAAGTTTGACGAAGTATGTTCCCGTGTCACATCTTAGTTTGTCTGTCTATGTAAACACTGTCATTGAAATGATGCATTATTTGAAAGTTTCATATAAATCTGTTTATTATATTAAATGATAGACGAAACAATATGCACATACGTACATATTGACAAACTCACTCACTTATATATATAATTTATTATCATTTGTATATTCTATAACCGACAAGAGAGACTGTTATTAATATAAAAATTAATTTTCAAATAAATGTATATCTATTCTTAAAAACAACAAAATTTTGATTTAATTTTTTAATTATAATTGAATGTAACTAATGTGCTAAAAATATTTTTTAGACTAACTCATATGTAATCCTGGTTATATTCTGTTTGTGTGCCTAAATAAATAAAATAAAATAAAACAAGATCAGAATTACTTTTTTAAAAATAATATTCGATACAATTTAACTACATATTTTATAATTTTATTAAATTAACACAAAACAATTTTAAATTAATAACTTTCAATTGTCTCGATTTAAACTTATCGTGAAATGAATTCTGAATATAACAATTACGAAAGACTTAAACACTCCGAAAATCTAGGAACGATTTATCTATCACACTAACGCGTGTTACGAACTAAAGAGTTCTGTTCACTTCTGACAATTGCTTATATTCCTACAATGTGTATGTGTGTATATATTTCAGGTGATGGAAGCCGTGTCTGTAAGTAGCGGCTACGCAGGCGGAGTAGGGGCGGGTCACTATGGCACGTACGCTCACTACGGCGCCGCGTACCCAACACAGCCCGCTTACTTAGTCGAACCTCAAGTACCCGCATATATGGCACAGGTATAATTATTACTTGTACTATGTTTTTGACAACGACGTTATCAGTGTAATGTGTGTATTAAAATAATTTGGTAAATTAAAATCAGCGCCATCTATGTGTCGCGTCTCTTAACTTGTTATGTCATAAATCATAATGAAAGGGGAAGTACATGCTATTTCTAATTTCTATAAGTATATTTTATTCTAATATTAATTTAATTATTGATTTTTTTTCAAAATTAGCTCATAGTTTTTGCATTATAGAGTAACAGATATATAAAAAGTTCATATATCCTCAGAAAGGTAATAAAAATATTAGTAAGTCAAGTGTGACTAACGAGTTATATTTAAAACAAAATTATATGTTGCTGTAGTTGTATGTTGGTATGTTTTGTGTGAAGAGATGTCATTATATTACTTAGAACTGAAATACGGCTAATGTACACTTTCACTCTGTCTTACCGTTAACATGGTTGCTATAAAGTAATCAAAAGTTCTACTGGTTGATTACAAACAAATTTTTTTTAACTCTTTCTCCCTCTCTGTCTCTTTCTTTCTCTATAGACACACATATATATATATTTCTTTCTTTATAATTATTTAATTAGGACCAATAAATACATTCATCTAACACAAAATCTTCAAAATTAATAATCGTTAACTATATTATTTATATTTTTATAAATGCTAACAAGAAGTAGAATAAGTTATTTAAATGATATTATGTATTTTATATTACAGGAATTTGTAGAGGGCGGTGGCAGCGCATCACCTCGCAGTGCTTCACCCGGGGCAATACCTCCGCAACACAATATGCATCTGCAACAGAGGTAATATTGTTAGTCATACAATAAAATTACTTATATACACATACAAACATATATACATATACATTTGTCAATCAAACACATACATGTGTATGTTGTAAGACTTTGAAGTTACACAATAAAATAATAACTAAACATATACACGCACTTATTAATTTTATATATAATTCAATATGGTTTCAATTATAATAAAAACACTATAATAATTATAACGATGACATACATAGTTGGATTTGTAAATAACTTGAAGTAAGTTAATAATAATCCCTACTAATATTATAAATGCGACAGTTACTCTGTCCGCCTGTCTGTTTGTTACTCTTTCACACCTAAATCACTGAACTGATTTTAATGAAATTTGGCACAGAGATAGAGTTGACCTTGAGAAAGAACTTAGGATAGTTTTTATCCAAGACTTTTGAAAGGTTCTCTTGGAAACGCGATATAACCGAAGACCACGCGGGCGAAGCTGCGGGCGGAAAGCTAGTACTAATGTATACATATATGTAGGTACGACTCGGCGTCCCTGGAACAATTAGGTCGACACTACTGTGTTACGTCACCGCGCGGTGAATATGCTCCCGATGCGTACGGCTATCAGCACTACTCCGCAGCATACGACACTACACACCAGCCTACTGCGTTTAAGGTACTACCTTACTACTTATACTGTAACGTACTAATTATATTAAAATACCTCTGCATATATCTGTGAATTGCACAATAGCAATAAACTACAAGATATATTCATGGTTACAATACAATTATTTTCCATCGATTCAATATAAGGCTATAGCTTAGCTGGTAAAGCGACTGGTATATTATATATTTGAAGTCAAACACAAGTTTAAAAAAAAAAATTGTTTTATTTTATCTATTTAAATATCTATTTAAATATAAATAATAAATACATCTCAATCATGTGGTGTATTGTAGAGAAGGTAAATGAGAATATTTTTGCTATTTGATAGGTATAAAATATATTAAACATACACATAAGCATAATTTTTGTTTAAGACGGTATTATAACTTTTAAAAACTTGACATAATATATAAGAAATATATGTATCTATTTTTTCAGGATTCACAAAACGGCTTGAGCTTAGGCAGTACCGGAGGGCAGTCTATGTATGGCGATGAAGAGGAACTTCAGAAGCAAATGGCTAATATGGCGTTAGGTAGTTATTAAATATAAAACAATGATTACATACAATTTGTATGACAATGTGGACACATGATGTAATATTACTGTTAGAGACAGTTATAATTTTTTTTTTACAAACATCTGTAGGAGTTCTTAAGAATAATAATATTATGTAAAAGTATATAGAATGTTGAAATCGTTGTGGCCTAAAAGTTAAAATGCTCGCCTCTCATGCATGAGGACGCAGGATTTGAAACCTGGGAAGTACCAACGTGATTTTTTCGCATCATATGTACTTTCTAAGGGTATTTAGACATCACTGACAGACAGTAAAGCAAAACATCGTAAGGAATCCTGGACTTGTAATTTCACAATTATAAGTTTGTAATCACCAATCCGTCTTGAGCAGGCGTGGTTATTAATGATCAAATCTTCTCCATGTGAGAAGAGGCCTTTGCTCAGCAGTGGGCTCTGATAGGCTGATGATGATGATAATGATATTGATATATATTGTTTATCATTTGTCACCAGTTCACGGTAGTGTAGGCGTGGGTGGTCGGGAGGAAGGCGGAGGTCTTCAATGGCGTGACCCCAACCTGCCAGAGGTCATAGGTTTCCTTAACTCGCCGTCAGATGTCGTGAAAGCAAACGCCGCCGCTTACTTACAACACCTCACGTATATGGATGACCCTAACAAACAGAAAACTAGAAGCTTAGGTTAGTTAAATGTATATATTTTATTAGATTTTAATCTAATTCTATGTTTTTGGGTTTATATTATTTGTTTATTTATATTTTATATAATGAAATCGGTGTAGATAAATAATTTCTTGCACTTGATAATAATTAAATTGCCAAGTATATTCGGTTATTTTATGAATAAAGCAATAATGATCGTATGAAAGTAAAATAAATGACTACTGTACTTTATGTACAATCTCTTGTTTCCTAACCGGCTAAAATAAAGTTATATTTTCTACCCACAGTAGTATATGTAACTTTACTTTACTATCTTGATTAATTTATATCTCTATTAACTTTCATCTGCCTTGCAAATCACACTTTTCGTAACGCTTTCGTTATCTATTCACCAGCTTACTCTCAAAATACGGAGTTTGTTAAGAAGTATATATAACGCTTCATATATATTATAATATAGTTTAAGTCAGTGGTGGCCTACTGGTTAAAGGGCCCGCCTCTCATGCACGAGGGTGCGGGTTCGATCCTGGCCCGGGCAAGTATCAATGTGATTTTTCCGAGTCATATGTACTTTCTAAGAGTATTTAGACATCACTGATTAATGCTGATTCCCAAACAGTGGCGGCTGTACCTTAAGTGCACTCGTGCGCTGAACCACCAATTCAAAAGATTTAAAAATTACAAAATATTACATACTTCATCTTTATTTTTAAATTACCATTTTAATATTTATTTTTTAAACATATGAAAATGTATAAAAATGAAATTTCCTAATATTATGGTCAAAAAGTTGGATCGCTTTACTTAACTCATATCGTGCGTTTCGGCGAGTGCACGAGGACTCCTAATACATCTTGTATGAGATACGCATCAATACGCCTGACGCGTGAGACAAAAGATAGTTCATAGAAATGTACCGAGTAATGAGTCGGTTCTCGAGCGCCGCACGAGCGGCCGAAGATTACCGAGAACACCCGATGTATGACGAAGTGAGTCGGCCGGCCGCGGCATGTTTGACATCTCGTTATGTTTTGCTGATTTTTTTAATTTATTTTAGTAAAGTGCACCACCAGTTTGATTACCCACCAGCCGCCACTGTTCCCAAATAGGGTTGATGTCAGGCAGCCATAACCAATAGCCAAAATTATACACAATATGTAAGGCAGATCCTGGCTATAGCTGGGAAATTGTGAGGTAGAAGAGGATATATTATATAGTTTATTTATATATTTCCAGGCGGAATTCCACCTCTAGTACGTCTCATATCTCACGAGAATATGGATGTATGTCGTAACGCCTGCGGTGCCCTACGGAACTTATCATACGGGCGGCAGAATGATGAAAATAAGAGGGCAATAAGAGACGCGGGGGGAATCCCCGCACTTATGGCGCTACTTGTACGAGTCTCTGATTTGGAAGTAAGGCTATTTACACACTATTGAATAACCACCGATGTTTTTAAAGCTTATAGCTAACAACTATAGTACAACAAAGAAGAAATTAAACTAATGTTTTCGGATTATTACGCGTTCTTTTATTATTTTTAACAACATATTACTGGCGCTAGTGTTCCCAATGACGAGATGATAATGTCTCAGACACCCGAAAATATTAGATCTCATTACGTAACACTTACGAAATTGTGATTTTTTTATACAGTTCCAAGAAGTATATTTGAGTATAATGTTTGTTTCTATAATGGTTTTTTTGCCCATGTACGGACTATTATAACATAAAAAAAATTAAGAAACACTCAAAACTATCGCATTAACTTGTAATTTTGATCAAGTCTCACGTTTGCTTACTCTATTTTGACACATTACTAGTATTCAAGTTACAATGTCTCGAACTTGTATGTATAATATAATTTGTTATAACCTTTTAGCATCTTCATTTAAAGCAACATCTATATTATTTTATTATATATATTAATATTTTTTAATATATTTATTCAGATCAAGGAGTTGGTGACCGGCGTCATATGGAACATGTCATCGTGCGAGGATCTAAAACAATCCATAATAGATGACGCTGCGCAAGTTATTTTCAACAAAGTCATCATACATCATTCTGGCTGGCATCCCACGAACCCGGGAGACACGTATTGGTCTAATGGTAGGCTTGAACATTAATATAATAGCTATTTTTCCTCTTCCTGGCAATTTCCCAGATATAGCCAGGGTCTGCCTAACATGTTGTGAATAGTTTTGGCTATTTACGACCGGCCGCCTGCCTGACATCAACCCTCTTTTGGGAAAAATATAATAGCTATTAATTAACTTAAATATTATCAGTTATTCTAGAAGTAGTCTTATACGAGATCTTTATCGAATCAAACTAGCAATAGTTTTCAGTTTTGTAAACGTTCTTTATGGAACATATACAATGGTATATGAAATCCCAAGGTATAGCTTTAGTTAAAAATGGTGGGGAAGTTTTGAAGTTATAGTGAACAGACAGACATAAGATTAAAAGCATGTTGTTGCATGATTTGTGGTTATAACTACATATGAATCGATATATGTGATCTGAGAGAATAAAGTAGTTTATTCATACTCAAATCTTATGATGTTATGAATATTTTAATGATTATAACAATTAATCCCAATTCAATACTATTCATAACACCAAGATTTTCACTCATACTTGATACAATCAAAGTTATTACAATATTAAGATATCTGTGATTTTCCTTGTTAAATGAAATAAGATAATTCTCTTGAAAGTATTCGAAACCTCGTAGTTTAATTTTAATGAGTACACGTGAAAATCTTAGATCTCATTCTATCTGACGTTTTGATAATATCGAATGTCATAATATCGAAACTTTATATCAAGCGTACATAAATCTTCATTTATATAGTACTAGCTGCGCCCCGCAGTGTTACCCGTGGATTTCCGTGATGTAAAGTAGCCTATGTGTTATTCCTGGACGTCAGCTTCCTGTATACAAAATTATATCAAACTCAGTTCAGCAGTTTGATCGTGATGAAGTAACAAAGATACTTTATATATATACAAACTTTCGCAATTATAATATTAGTACTATTAGTATTATAATATTATTACTGAGTTTCTTTCGCTGGTTCTTCTCAGGTATTTTCTTTTCCGAACCGGTGGTTCAAGTGTCCATCAATAAGAAAGTGTAATGCTTCTATATTGAATAAAGTTATTTGAGTTTTTTTTTGAGTTTTAGTATAATATTATTACATAATAACATTCTATACCGCAGTGTTCCGTAACGCGTCGGGCGTTCTCCGTAACGCATCATCAGCGGGTGAGTACGCGCGTCGCCGGCTCCGCTCGTTAGCTGGTCTGGCGGAGGCGTTACTACACACGGTGAGGGTGGCGCTGGTCAAGAACGCTATAGGGACGAAGGTGGTCGAGAACTGTGTGTGTGTACTGAGGAATCTGTCGTACAGGTATGTATGAGTATGTTTGATCAATTTGTGGGCTTATATTATTGTTTGTATGGATTTTTTAATATCTCCATGGTATAAATCGAGAGCAAGCGAAGATGAATTATGTATTTCATGGTCAAATAATTTTTCATGAACTTTCCATACATTTGTAATTCTACAGTTATGTAGTTGATATTTCTGCTTTCATTTCTGTTAGAAATTCAATGAGATATCAGGATATAGACTACAAGAGGGACTTGATATATACCTAATTTAATCTTTTTTAAAAACATACTTACATTTTTGTATTGTGAAATTTATGCTTTAAATTTTATAACCTTGTAAGCATACATATATAAGACTGAGTAGTAAATCTTTTAAATACATTCCTACCATTGTAGAGTGGCTATGTAATCTTAGAGTGAAAGTATTGAAAAATAAATATCCAAATAACACATTTAGCCCCTTGAATAGAAATGCTAATATACATATATTTGAGAATTTTTAAGGATAACCTAAATATTTAAAGGCGTGTTTTCCTTATAATTTACGGAATTATTCGTGTCAAATGTATTCTATAAATTATTGCGATTCCCAGGTGTCAAGAAATAGAAGACCCACTGTACGACACTCGAGCGCCTCCCACACAATCATCTGGACAGGCGAGGATTCAAGCTAGCGCGTCGAAAGGTACAACAAAATATATATCTTTAATTATAATATTATTTCTTAAGAAAGTTGTTAATAAAACTGTAAGAAATCGCTGGGCCTACACATAGTTCAATATATATTACTTACTAGCTTTCCGCCCGTAGCTTCGCCCGCGTGGAGTTCGGTTATATCGCGTGTACAAGAGAACCTTTCAAAGTCTGGGATAAAAACTATCCTTGTTCTTTCTCAAGGTTAACTCTATATCTGTACTAAATTTCATTAAAATCAGTTCAGTGGTTTAGGCGTGGTAGCGTAACAGACAGACAGAGTAACTTTCGCATTTATAATATTAGTAGGGATATAATACAAATATGTCACTACAGGTGAAAATCTTGGATGTTTTGGTGGAAGTAAAAAGAAAAAAGAGGGTTCGTCTTCAAATTCCACGAGTCCGCTTGGCAAGAGTGATCCTGAACCACAAACAGACACCAACACGACGCAGCTAGGGTACAGTGTACCGAAGGGAACGGAGATGTTGTGGTCACCTGAGGTGAGTGATAAGATATTTTTTTATTTTATTTATTAAGATCCTCCAGGAGTAAATACATCAACACAATATTAGTAACAATAACAACATATAGCTTAAAAACTAATTACCTATAAAGGAGAATACCTCATGCAATGATAGTGGATATAAAAGGAGCTTACACGATAAAAATATGTACATTCACGAATTTAAACATATTATGCTAATTGGTTATGGGTTCATATTTTCCTAGTTCTTAGTTTCCAGTCGCAACCTTGTTCATTCACAAATCCCTTTTTACATGGTTCAGTATAATATCAGCACACGATATAGGCGAAATCTATAAGGAAACTAAAAAAGAGGAATATATACACATACAAGTATATACATACTACATATACTACCATATAAATATACAATACATACATACACACGCTTACAACCATACGCACATATGCTCGTACGCACACACATTCCGATTCTTCTGTATGTATACATTTGTATATAGATACCCGACGAAATTCGTATCGCCCTATAATCAAGAAATATCTGTTACGTTTTTTTATTTATATTTTTGGAGTTTACCTATTAAAGCCATAAATCTCCGTGTTTTGAAGTGCGACAGAATGATTGACAAATTAGTTAGTTGTCAAATCTAATGTCAAAAAAAACGTTTGTATCAACAACTACTAATAAATTAAAAATTAATTAAAAAAACATTGTCCAGCGGACAAAAATGTGAATCTAAACCATTCCCAGATCCCCTTGAACAGACACAAAAATTTTCATCAAAATCGGTCCAGTCGTTTGAGATAAGTTCAGTGACATACACACTCACAGAAGAATTATATATACATATAAAGATTCAGATATTACAAAGAAATTAACTTTAACTATACTTTGATCATAAATTCCTCTATAAAAGATACTTAATCTTCAACCTAATCATTTCATTATACAGGTGGTTCCTCTATACATGGCATTACTCCAAACATGTTCCAACCCCGAGACTTTAGAAGCGGCCGCCGGCGCCCTACAAAATCTAGCCGCATGTTACTGGCAACCCTCTATAGATATACGAGCGGCTGTTAGGAAAGAAAAAGGTAATATGGCAACATTATGTTTAATACAATGACTAGGTTCAAAAGGATATATCAAGAGATTAAAATAATAAGTATTTTGATTTTATTTTTATTTATATAAAAGTTGTGTTAACTCAGGGCCATTAGAATTTTAATGGGAATATAAAATAAAATTACGGTTTATGTATGTGACATAGAAATGAATGGATTTATCAACCCAATTCAACCACGTAACGGTTTCGTTAAACTGCCAAAAGATGTCGCTAGTAGCAACCAAATATGAATCATACTCTCCATGAAATTAGTTCTTAGATTTAATAAATAAATCAAATGATTTTATTAATATGTATTTTCCACAGGGTTACCAATTCTCGTAGAGCTGTTACGTATGGAGGTTGATAGGGTGGTGTGTGCCGTTGCTACAGCCCTACGTAACCTGGCCATCGATCAACGCAACAAGGAACTCATAGGAAAATACGCCATGCGTGATTTAGTACAGAAATTACCCAGCGGTAATCAACAACACGATCAGGTATGTGGTTTAAACAGATTTCGTTAATAATATAATATTATTATGGTATAGTTATATAATAATTATTATCGCACACTAATTTTTGTTATATTCAATAATATTTTATTCAATTGAGAGTAGCTAATCTTCCTAAAACCTTCAGTAAGTTAATCAAAGCGCGCATTTAACACTTCATTACGAAATCAGATAAATTTTTGTTTTCTTATTTTTTGTTAAGCCAACATAGATCCTAATCAATAATCCATTATATTAAATAAATGTGTCTCTTTCGCACATGTGTATTTATGAAATTCTAGTAATCAATTGAATATTTTTTTTATGACGAATGAGTCTATAAAAGAATGTATGAATTAATTAATTATATTCCAGTCATTAAGCGAGAGCTACTGCAGTATTTACATCAATTTACAATCTGACTTTTTCAGTATTGTCGTAATGGAGTTATAACAAACGTAGTTCGTTGAAAAATTAAACAATAAAAATATATTTCTTAGTATCTAATAGATTAGTTTTTCTATGTATACATTACATACTTGAATATAATATAAGCCATTTTTTTTTATTGAGGCCAAGTAATGAATCCTAAAGTCTTGATCATATAGGCTTCATATAATTTAAAGTAGTATTAATATGTAATGTATAAGTAATGTTACCGTTATATTCCAGGGTCATTACATTACATGTCATTAAATTTATTAAAATTGTAATGATATGTAATGTTTACCTTAAGTAAAACTAATAATTTCGCTTTAATCAAAGTCTTAGATTTTATAATTAATGTTATTTTTATTCCAGGGTACATCAGACGATACTATAGCAGCTGTTCTGGCTACACTAAACGAAGTTATAAAGAAGAGCGCTGAGTTCTCACGTTCCTTGTTAGAAGCCGGCGGGGTCGAGCGACTGTTGAATCTGACAAAACAACGACACCGTCATACACCTAGAGTACTCAAGTTTGCTGGTAAGATTACTAAAAGATTAGTATATAGTAATTTAATTGTCAACAGATAATATTACCTGAAATAGAAGTTATGTCATACAGAAAATTTTGTTGCTACTATTTTGTATAAGATGTAATGAACTAGTTTGAAATAACTATGATATGGTAGTACTGTAAAATATATTTTCCTATAAAGATAAAATAATATATTTAATTTAATAGTCCCAAACGAAATTAATAATGTTTTACTTATAGTGATTATATTAATTACTATCTGCGCCCCGCGCTGTTACCCGCGGATTTCCGGGATGTAAAGTAGCCTATGTGTTATTCCTGGACGTTAGCTTCCTGCATAGAAAATTTTATCAAAATCGGTTCAGCTGTTTGAGCGTAAAGAAGTAACAAACATACACACACACTCTCAAACTTTCGCAATTATAATATTAGTAGGACGTTTATTAAGAAAAATCTCTGCTATACTATAATTATATATATAGTATATCTAATACGTATATATATTCCAGGCCAAGTCCTAATGACGATGTGGTCTCACGCGGAGCTGCGTGAGGTGTACCGTAAGCACGGGTGGCGCGAGGCTGACTTCCTCACGCCGGCCAGGGCGGCTCAACCGCGGGCTGCTTCTAATACTAGCGGTGAGTTGATATATATGAATTACAATGTAAAATTGAATGCAAATTTTGTTATATTGAAAATAATATAACTTTGGCCCTAAATATACTGAATCGATTTTATTTGTAGATATAAATATTGCAATGGAATCCTAACACTAAAATTGAGTTATTTTTGTATGAAATAGAATCATAATAAAAAAACCAGAGGGAAATGTAAATTTATTAAGATTAAGTCTCTTATATTAAAAAAAATATGGAAAAGACAAAATTAATATAATACACAATAATGTATAATACATGTAATATAAAGCATCACTTATGTGTAACTTGTCTGTATATGTGTAAATGTGAATCTTGTGTATGGGAGCAATGTTTTGTAACATTGTCATGTCTTATCATTACACAGCTTTACTAACATCAACACATACACACTACATATTTTATCACACTATCATAATCATTTTAACATGAAAATGCTTATTAATTTAAAACATATCGTAAATTCATTAAAATGTTTCTCAATATTAATCATATTTTTTTCACACAAATTAAATATATTAATATATAAAAAATGTATACGGAAATAGGTCACTTTCCCATTAGGTGCTTTCAAGTACATACAACATATTAATAAAATATTTTTTTATTCAAATTATATATAAATATATAAATATATATATATATATATATATATATATATATATATAATATAAATATAAATATATATAAATATATATATATATATATATATATATATATATATATATATATATATATATATATAAATATATATAAATATATATCTACTGTTAATATACACGATGTTTCTTATATATAATACCCACACAAACGTACACATGAACACACGCACACAATGATAGCATGTGTATAACGCGTATAATGTAGGTGGCACGCCGGGCGCGCCTCACTCGCCGAGTGCCGCAAACAGCACGCTCAGTCGACCGATGGCGTCCACCGGCGGCACTCGCTACGAAGACCGCACCATACGACGGCATAGGGAGGTGAGATACACGCACACACACACACACACACACACACACACGCAAAAATACATAAACACTAAGCTCGTGTTGTTATATATACACTAAGGTATGTAGGTACCTTTGATTGTATCACGATCTAATGCACCTATACAGGGTGACTGGTGAATTACTATCAATATTTTAGGAGAATACTCGGTACATGATTCTCATTCGAATTATGTAAAAAAAATAGGTAGTTAATTTTTGACCAAATTTCCGTATAAATAAATAAAGTGGACACGTTCCAAGTGTTCCAAGTGTGGACGCGTGCAGCGGCGTGCTGATACAACACCACGCCGCGCGCGCGCGCGCGCGCGCGTTTGTGTATGTATACCTAATCTGTAGGGTGTTCACACGATGCGTAATTAATTACATAACTTTTGGTTAACTTTACTTAGAAGTTTATTAATATTTATGTTATATTAATTTTTATTTGGTCATATATGAACGTCAAATATCACGTCCTCAAGTATCGATAGTAATTCACCAGTCACCCTGTATATGTAATTGGTATATAAATAGTAATCTTTACAAATCGGCTAACTTTATAATGACCATAATGTTCACGATTCACTAACTTCGGTTCACTTAAAGTTCACGATGCACCAAGCTCGGTTCACTTAATGTTCATGATTCATATACTCGGCTGACGTAATGTTCACGATGCACTAAGCTCGGTTTACTTAATGTTCACGATGCACTAAGCTCGGTTCACTTAATGTTCACGATGAACTAAGCTCGGTTCACTTAATGTTCACGATGCACCAAGCTCGGTTCACTTAATGTTCACAATGCATATATTCGGCTGACATAATGTTCACGATGCACCAAGCTCGGTTCACTTAATGTTCACAATGTATATACTCGACTCACGTGACATTCACGATGAACTAAGCTCGGTTCACTTAATGTTCACGATGTACCAAGTTCGGTTCACTTAATGTTCACAATGCATATATTCGGCTGACGTAATGTTCACGATGCACTAAGCTCGGTTCACTTAATGTTCACAATGTATATACTCGACTCACGTGACATTCAGGATGAACTAAGCTCGGTTCATTTAATGTTCACAATGCATATACTTGACTCACGTAATGTTCACGATACACTAAGCTCGGTTCACTTACTTTTCACGATATATTATACTCAGCTCAAGCAATGTTCACGATTCATATGTTGGCGCACTTTATGTTTACGACGCACTAAGCTTGGTTCATTAAATGTTCACGAAGTATACACTCTACTCATTTAATGTTCACTATGCATTACACTTGACTCACTTTTGTATTTTCACAAATTGTATTATTTTTGTTAATAATTTGTGACGTCATTCATTTCGTTAACTTTATGCCCTAAGTGACTTCATTCACGATACACTACATGTAGTCCGCTTTCTTTATTTTAGGGGTTCAACTAGGAATTAATGGTCCTTATTTATTTCCTACTATTTGTGATGTAGTGACGTCAAATAAATATCGAATACAAATGATTTGTATGTGTATATAACTTTAATTCAATAACTAGCTTAAATTAATTCATTAAACTTTCATAGTGCGTTTTTCGTTTATATTGAAATTTGTTTTCTTCTAAAAATTCTATTTCACTCTCATTGTATAAAGCACAATCTTAATCCACAATCACGAATGCTTGTTCCGTATGTATGTCTGTGTTGTAATTTATAGGTGTTTGTTTAGAGAAATTAAGCCTGTTTTGGTAAATAGAAAAAAATTATTATAATGATTAATTTGATATAATGTTTTCAGAACGATGACATGCCACCCATGGATGTGAATTACGTCGATGGTCTTGGTATGGGGAATCCTAACGGCCGTCCCATGAATCTACAGGGGGTACAAGCCCAAATGCCCCCACCAGGCAGCCGTTAACTTACGCCCGCGACTGTACCTCGTACTAGACTAGACACTTTTCTTCATGAATGTACCTACGTCGTAGCAGTTCTTATGAAATATTTAATTGTTGAGGTGTGATTTAACGTATTATTATGCCTATAATTTTTTTTGTAGTCTCGTTTTTAATTTTTTTGTTGTGATAAATGATAAAGTACAATATTTTTTTCTCTTTGTTTGTGATAGTCTTAATAATTTATGCGTCATTTTTGTATTTTTTTATCCATAGAATATCACAATCATATAATTTTTTTGTCAACCAAGAACTGAAATGTATTTTTTTTTATTACATACACATACCATCGTTGTGATATGTACATCGTAACTCCGCACGAAATGTAAACGTAATTTTATGTCTAACCTAATAAAGTAATAAAGTCAATTCCCCCTGTATATAATCGTGCCATTGTAACTCGGAAGGGGATTCCCATAGATGTTGTGTAATTTTTTCTATTAAATAAAATCAAGACTCATTAATTATGGGTATTGTGATTGTTGTAACGGTACAGTCGGCAACGGAATACGAATTCTGTTTTTCCTACAGTTCAATTCATTATCTCGTATAGTACATGTGTGATTTGTATTATGTCGCCGACTGTACGATCATTATCATTTATATTAAACGAGCAATCTATTTACTACGGTATATACCTAAATATATTCGGGATTTGATTGTAATTTATGTAATAGACTCGGCCCTGTGTACTGGCGGGCTTTTAGAGGAAGGTTTTTTGTAACATTTTGTATTCATTCCAGAAACTTAATGTAATATAGGCGTCTAATTGTCCTCTTTATATGATTAAGGAATATCCGTCTTATATACATAGATATAAGATCATTATTCGGATGCCCGTGTAAGCTTTAAATACGGTTTCATTCGCATCCTTTTATTAATTTTATTTATATATATTTTTAAACACTTTTGTTTGTGAAATTATTTTTATGTTTATAAACACGTGGCGGTATATTATAGATCGTATAAAAATCCTTTTATTTAAACGACATAGCAAGGAAAATGTATATTAAAATAATTATAATTTCTATGTCCTTTATTTCAAATCGCACGAACGTTGAAAATCATATAATATAATATAATATAATAAAAAATAACACGAAATTTCATCAGATTTCGTCTAAGATAATGATCTCTGTAAACGCGATTATCAAGTAATTAGTATAGAAGGATTTCCCTCCGTTTTCATTTTAAGTAATTATTTATTATTATTTTCATTTAATCATTATTAATCTTATATAGCGAGTATTCAATGTATTGCACAACACGTGACTGACTTACCCGGTATGAAACTACCCTCAATCAGTGCAGTTATTTTTTTTAGTGTAAGTTTTGTATGATACTTTTATATAAAACATAATATGAACAGTTGGTTATACTTGCCAGTTGTTGCTCGCTTCTATGAAGCGAAATTATTATAATACATTACTTTGCTCTCGAGAAATTCATTAATTTTTTTAATAAAAGCAACTTTTTTGAAACCGCTTCAGAAATTCCCAAAAAATAATAATATGATACTTATATTTTTTTAATTATATTAAGTTAATGGGTTTATATAGCGGTGTCTTTCTGACCGATGTAGGTTTAAGGGAACTTATTTAATCACCTTTTTTTAATTTATGATATGAATTATATTAGAGAAATGTAGGCATTATTACAGCCATTTGTTTTTTTCATATTATATACAACGTGATTTTTGTAAAGTTTATGGGCAGTACTTTTTTTTAAGCTATTAAATCGATTATAGTATACTACGGCAGCAGATATTAAATAAATGTTATATTTTTTTAACTATCCTCTTTATAACGAATCGGTTTTATTTCATGCTGCCAATATAAGATCTCCTTGAAGATTCTATGTAGGTTATACATCATGATTATAATTAAACCACAAATAAAATGTTATATGATTGTCTATGGTCAACCAGAGACTATAGTCGTTGGAACAGTAATACTCGATTATTTATATTTTATTTAAAAATAAAAACATTATTAATATTTAATAATCACTTATATTTTGGTCGCTGCGACATTATTACTGTTTATTAATTAATTTCTTATTTCATTTTGTGAGTAGATATAAATAGAAAATATTATCTTTTTACATAAAAATATATTATACACAGAAAAAATTAAAGAATGGTTTTTTAATTTGTTTTTGTTTTAATTTTTTATTTCCTTTATTTTACTATATATTATTTATTTATTGTACAATGGCCTATATACTTGTGGGTAGGTGGGATTATATTTTTCGTTTCTCTCAATTTACTATTGATATTTATAAACAAGGATTTGTATGAACGAGACTTTATAATTTATTAAGATTTTTGGAAGATTTTTACTACATTTTCTAAAATAATCCCCTAAATGATAAAGCTTCCATTCGTTTCGTAATATGTCATCACAACATATATATCGGTTATACATTGTTAGTAACTTTTTATAGTATATAAAAGTTAGTTAAATTGTCTAGTAACTAATTGCATTTGTCGATTCTTCAACGGAATCAAAGTTGATAATTGAGATGATTTAAAAATCGTATAGAGATTTAAATCCTAAATTTATGAATGCTCACGTTTTATGTAATTAGTAGTGTCATGATAATCAGTTATTGAATTTATAGATGTAATAGTATACATGGACTTGTATTGAATTAGGGTGTGCACGTTTTTATTGGTGACTATACATTTTGTACTTTATCGGACTAATGTTAGGGCGATGTCTCTATCCCACGGCAGTATTATCCAGTAATCTCATGTACCGATGTTGCTAATACACTTAAATACATTTAAAATGACGTGACTTTTATTTACCATCCCTTTATAATATTAAAATTCGATAAAGGAATATTCAATATCAAATTGGTATCATTGATTTTTAAATTATTTTAAACAAAGAAAATGTTTGAATCAGTATGGTTGAATCATCGTATAACAAAGGTAAGTTGTAAAACAAGTGAAATTGTGTGAATAAAAAAGCCTATAAAATATAATTTTATGGCAAAATTTTAACGGCGTCCCGCTGGTAGGAGGGCCGCACCGAAATTATAATTAATAGAAGGCTCGTAACATTCTAATTGATTGATATTATATATTAATTTATGATAGCTTGAAATAAGTAATAAATAATTTTATGAAGGCGTAAATTTTGTTATTTTGTGGGAAGACTTTATATTACGTAAGTCCTTATGTTTAACTTGTAATTGTGGTTAATAATAAAACTACATTGTATTAGACTAATAAGATCCGGAGATAAGATATAATTTTAGTGCTATAAAATTTAATAAAAATATTGTTTTAGGCCCTTATATTTTTATATAAAATATCTTATTATTTCTGTCTAGACGGTAACTTAAAAAACTTACCGTTCAATTAAGTCAAGCTCTAATTAAAATTAAGCATTAATTGGTATGAACAATTTATTACTAAATTAAGTATAATTTTCTCTTAGTTTCTTTTGCGTGGTTATGTTTGATATAATTTATATTTCTTCGCCATGATAAGTAGCTTACGTCGCAACCGACTGTCTTGGTAGAAAATAATGACCCTTCGTACACAGAATAAGATGTCGGAGGAAGAATAAAAATAAATAAACGGTCTTTTTGGATACAAGGTATTTGGGATTATACAAATTTATCGTATAAGTTATATAAAATAGGTAAGTATATTGTATAACAATGTATAATACTTGTACAAGATACTTGTATAGTCTTAATTACTCGTAAGACTTAACAGTTAGGTACGTAGAAGTAGTTTTTGTGTACTAATCTGGTTGTTGAGGTGAGATTCAGGTACTTGTGCGACGTTGCAGTTTCTTAGATTACATCTTTTACTCTATAAGACATTTTATCGTGTCGTTTAGTAATTTATAATTTTTAAAATAATACAAAAAACTATGGAATATTAAGATGCATTAAAGATAACTAAATAATAATGTTATTTAAAAGTTTTTCATATTTTAATTTGCATAGAACACACGAGTAGAATTTTAATCTTCCATATAATTGGTGTTCATGATTTCTTTGTAATACTATTTTTCTATAATAATCGTGGACTTATATCGTTTTACACGGATTAGCTTCAAAGTGCTTCTTAAGCTGCGGCTTGTAGACAACTGAAGTCTTCGTCACGACCGTGGGATTACAGTCACTTTGAAGGCGAAATTTAGATTTTATTGTATACGTCGGTCATAACTGACAGTACAGGAATAAGTTCCAGTTTAACTTTTTGTATGAAATTTAACTAGCATCTATGTAATAATAATTCGTTTTAACTAAATTTTAATAAGAGTTCCATTAGTTAATATATAAGAATATAATTACAGCACATAGTATTTGACAAATTCTTATTTAAACGTATTAAAACTGATAATGTATACCGGTCATATAAATTGTTAAAAGCTTATTGTTTTGCTTCCAACCACATTATAAGAGTAGATATTTATTTCCAGAAATTATTTATTATTACAGTTGCATATCCATTTGCGATAAACATTTTTTAAAGCTATGGCTTCATTCACGCTGGAATGAAAATCGTGGACTATTTTGCTAATGTCAATGTTTTTATTTGTAAGACGATTTGTTATCTTGAGTTCTATGTGGAGAAACCAGGAAGGAGTTTGGCGAGTGGAATAAATACTTTTATTTAATTATTATTATTTCGATTGAATATTAGTTATATTTTTACCGGCACCTAGAACCTATACATTTATTATCTTACTCAAAAAATATCTATCATTTACACTATGTATTTTTCATATTCTATACATAATTTTATTAATAATGGCTCATAGTGAAACTTTGTTTTATAATACTATAATATTCGTTATCGGCAGACCCTCTAAAAATTTGTTTAACTTATAAAATGAACTAACTTTGGTAAAATTTTCGAACGATCACAATCATCTTGTAAATTACAAATTAAGTATGTAATCTTTTTATAATATCAATAATAATTTTTATTATATCA